TACCTGGAGGTGAAGTCGCATTAAATATCAGGCACCAGTTGGATCCAGAACTTGAGATGGCCAGGTTGGAGAAGTTGCCCCATCCATCTTGTATCACCACCGTGGTGTTCCCTGGAAAACCAAACAAGTCTCATGGTTAGTGCAGAAGTTGAATGCAATTTTTTTTATACTTCAGTCCTCCTTCAAGTGTAAAGACAGACGGGGTTATTCACAAAGCTGCCGAATAATTACGATCGGCTATTCACTCCGGCTCAGTATGCTGATTTCAGCCGTACATCGGCTGCCTTCAGCTGCTTCGGTCAGCCTAACATGCTCTGCAGAAGGACTTCGACTCAGCCGAGGTAATATCTGGATCAGCTGAGCCGTAGCTCTGGCAGCTCACTTGCTGCCGTTTGCCCCTATTCATATAGGGGACAAACGGCAGGGAGTGAATAGCGGAATGCTGCCGAGCCGCATTCGGCTGGGCTATTCTGCTCGGTACCTCCGTGGTACCGAGCACAATAGAAAATCAATGAAAATAGTCATAATAAAAAAAAGGTTGAAAATGTTTAATTTAAAAAAAATAAATAGTAAAATTTTAAAATGAATAAAGATTTAAAAAAAAAAGAAAAAATATACAATTGGGTGGTGCTAGCAGTGACAGCTAGCTACGCCCAACTGTTTCCTATTGGCCGGCACCTGCTAGACTCTTCTAGCAGTTCCCGGCCAATGAATAACAACTGGGCAGAGCTGGCCGTGATGTCACAGCCGGCTCCGCCCAGTTGTTATTGTTTAATGACAGCTCAGCGTCCCCATGTCCTTTGAGGATGCTGATCTGTCATTACAACTGGACGGAGAAAGCCGTCAGATCACGGCTGGCTCCACCCAGCTGTCATTTGCAGGGCTTACAGCCGGCCTTCGGCGGGCCGTTCTCCTCTCTTTGGCTGTCAATTTGGCTCATATGCCTTCGGCTTGGCTGTCTTCGGCTGCTGTACGGGCTATAGTGAATATTGTGTATAGTCCGTACAGCAGCCCTTCGGCTCAACTGAACTGAAGGGCTCCCGCGACCAAAGCTAGCCGAAGGATCAGCCAAAGCTACAGCTGGATTCTTCGGCAGCTTTGTGAATTACCCTTAGAATGTTGAATTCCAGATACTCAGTGAGATATACGGGACACTATGATCATTTTTATGTTTTAAAACAAAAATAAATATGATGTAGAGCAAAAAATAAAAAATAAAGCAACATTCCTAAACATGTAAGCTGCAGATCCCAAAAACTTCATTATTTTGGGATCCGGATCCGAAATTCAACTCGGTTCGGGTTTCGGATTCGGACAAAATCTGAATTTTCATTGGTTTCGGAAGAGTTAATGAATATTCGTTGCGAATACCACAGAAAACCATATGCAGATATGATTACTAAAGCTGAATCTCCCAGACCCGAATGGCATTCGGGAGCTCCTAAATGCAATTCGGAAATTCGGATCTTGAATGCCATTCGGGTCTAGAAGCCATATAAATAAATTACTAAAGCTGAGGCTCCCAGACCCGAATGGCATTCAGGATCCAAATTTCCGAATTGCATACGGGGGCTCATAAATGCCATTCGGGTCAGGGAGCCATATACATATATTACTAAAGCTGAGGCCCCCAGACCCGAATGGCAATTAGGAGCCCCCGTATGCAATTCGGAAATTTAGATCCTGAATGCCATTCGGGTCTAGGACGCTAAGCTTTAGTATTATAGGTATATACTGTATATGGCTCCCATGTTGCCGTAACAAAAATTTGTATTCAGACCTATTCGGATGCAGTAAACACAAAAAAACACATCTGATTGGCCAGAAAGGTCACATGTCCGATTCAGTTTTATTTTTGAACGAAATTCGGACGGGATCCGAATTTCGGAAACGGACATTTGGATTCAGACACATTCGGAGGCATTGGGATTCGGAAATTCGGATGTGTGGAGGAGGAGGAGGGGCTGTGTGCACAACCTGAGATGCTGCTAATAGATGTGCACCAGACTCTTACCATATGAAATATGTATTTGCGATATTTTCCTATTTAGCTGACTAAAAAGATATCAAACTTATTAAAACAAAAAATGACTCTTAACATAATATATAATGGAAACCTGCTGGAACAATTCTATAAATTTCCGTCAGTTTATAGGGCCTTACAGAACCTAGCCCAGACCACTAATAGTATTTCTGAATGGATGACAGAACAGAAGAGACATGTTGTTTCTAACCCAAGTGCTGTTCAGCCACTCCCCCGAGGAGCTTAAACATGTTGTTTCTAACCCAAGAGGCTGTTCTACTACTATTTCACACAACGCCAGCCTGCACACTGTTCCTGACCTCCCTGTATCATTTAAAGACACATGATCCTGAATCTCATCCATGTTCCCTGCCAACAGCCCATGCAATCCAATCCAGAGGCCAAAAGTAACATGGAAAGAAAACCTGTCACCGCCACCAAAACAAATACAAATACACCTCAGCACTCAACTCTGTTGGCAATTAAACTCCACTACTTTAGGCACAAATAGTTTTCAACTGTATGCAGTGGAGGTCTTGTTAGCACATTGAGGCCCACTCAGAAATGTAAAAGCTACACACCAGCCTTTGCACAGTGTAGTCCGTATGTTATTATATAAGAACCCCCATTGGGTGATCCAATAGAGTTGGTTTCAATAAAGTTTATTTTGCTGGCTAACAACATATTTGGTTGATTGGCCCCTCCCACTGCGCAACTTCCCAGTTAGTTATAAACTGAATAACCAAAGGTTTAGGGACACCTGACCACCACACCTATGTGAGCTTTTGGGCCATCCCATTCCAAAACTATGGGCATTGAAATTGAGTAGCCCCCACTTAGCTGCTATAGTATTCTCCACTCACCTGGGAAGGCTTTCTACATAATTTGGAGTGTATCATTTCCAGACACATACTTTTCATTCTGACCAGTATTCCCTGCCTACAGCCAGGGTTGGATTTGCCACGAGGCCAACGAAGGCCCGGCCTCTGGGCAGCGGGGAGTAAAGGGGCAGCAGGAGTGTGGAATTCCTATCTCCAGACGCTTGGGACATGCAGTTCCGGGTGGGTAGTTGTTTTCTACATTTAGCCCTGCTTTCCGCAAGCAGAACTAAATGTACAGCCGCTTCTTATGTACAAGTCATCTCAGTGATGTTGCTGAGATCACTTGTATGCAGCCTGCAGGTATGTCATCCTCCATTGGGGGGGGGCGAATTGAGAAACCTGGCCTTTGGGCAGCAGGGAAGTAGAGGGGCAGCAGGAGTGTGGAATTCCTATCTCCAGACGCTTGGGACATGCAGTTCCGGGTGGGTAGTTGTTTTCTACATTTAGCCCTGCTTTCCGCAAGCAGAACTAAATGTACAGCCGCTTCTTATGTACAAGTCATCTCAGTGATGTTGCTGAGATCACTTGTATGCAGCCTGCAGGTCTGTCATTCTCCAATATGGGGGAGGTGAATTGAGGAACCTGGCCTTGGGGCAGCAGACTGAGTAAATCCGGCCCTGCCTACAGCCCATGTGCCCAGAGGCAAAAAGTAACATTCCAGGAAAGACCGGTCACCCCAATCTAACTAATACAAACATACCCAAGCACCCACACATAGCCAGCACTGAATGACCCCACCAGCTCAGAGGAGGACACATCCTCCACCTCATGTGGGCTACAGCTCCTGTTCCTGGTCACCACCTCAGCGAAGTTACATACAAGAGGGTATCAATATTATGGGCAAGGCGAGGGGGGTATCCCCTAAAAAAGTGGGAAAATGTATTTGCAGTACCCCAGAAAAAAAATATCTATAGACAGTTATTCTACGGGGATCCGTGTGTTTCACATGGCAAAAAAACAAGCCGGCCGACATCTGTTTTGTGTGATATTTGTTATTTTCAAAATTTTAAACTGTTATTTTAAGTTTGGTTTAACAAGCGGAAAGCACGCCCAAACTTATTAAATGTACCCCTAGGGTTACACGTACCACTGTTTGAGAAAATGCGGTTTAGAACAATTGCTGTTAAGCTGCTTGATAGTACTCACACATCTGACTCCTTTGTAATGTCTATAACCAGCTTAACTGACGTCTGTCATGATGGAAATATGGAAGCGTCCACTTATTCTTAAAACTCCGCCCTTCCCTTCAGTCTTGCCCAATTGTACCGGCTCCTCTCCTGGATTGAAATGTCTTCCTCTGATTTCACTGCACACTCTGAGCTTCTCACAATGTGCATTGGAAGCGGCAGCAAGTCAGATAGAGTCAGCTGGCATTTTCCTCCCCAGCCTGACTGCCTCTGGCCCATCTATTTCATTCAATGGATATCAGTTCTTTCAATCATGGAGGCTCAGCATCACATGTGGGCGCTACCTAGGGCAGTTTGCATTCACTTACAGCCTGCCTAGGAATGCCCACTTATCCAGACTGACATCCACCCATCAAGGCATTTTGGTATTTGCATAACTCCTCTGAAGATCCAGCCCACTGCTTGCAACTAGACTGAGGGCTCCTGGGAGGAGTACTGAGGCAGCGTCCTGTGATGTTTTCAGGAAGCTATGTACAGCACCCTGCTTGCAACAAATTGGTGTTGGAACAAAAGGAAAAGAGGTGAGGCAGCCATGTTGGGAACACTCAGTAGAATATCATACCATACTTACATACCTCCTAAAGTTCTGAGATGGGTATGAAGGACATAATTTAGAACAAACTATGTAGGTTAAGGACACTTAACTCTCGTGCCCCCATTTCCTCGTGCATGAAGCCTTAATGCACTAAAAATTATTGGTGAAACCTATTTTGTCTTTTTTTCACCACTACTTTTCCTTTCTACTGGGTTTTCAAAATAACAAATACAATAATGTAGAGGTTGGATAAAGGTGACAGTGAAGTAAAACACTTTTGGTGGTTAAATAGCACATATGTTATAGTGGTCTATACATCAGACCCAAAAGAGGGACAACTGTGGAGAAAAGACGGAAATATTGGTGTGGTTCCAAAAGAAGGAAAGATGGAATTGGTTCCATGAGAGAGACAGACGGGTTTGGTTCCATGAGAGAGACAGACGGGTTTGGTTCCATAAGAGAGACAGACGGGTTTGGTTCCATAAGAGAGACGGACAGGTTTGGCTGCAAAAGAGAGACAGACGGGTTTGGTTCCATACGAGAGACAGATGGGTTTGGTTCCATACAAGAAACAGACGTGTTTGGTTCCATAAGAGGGACAGATGGGTTCGGTTCCATACAAGAAACAGACGGGTTTGGTTCCATAAGAGGGACAGAAGAGTTTGGTTCCATACAAGAGACAGACCGGTTTGGTTCCATAAGAGGGACAGAAGGGTTTGGTTCCATACAAGAGACAGACAGGTTTGGTTCCATAAGAGGGACAGATGGGTTTGGTTCCATACAAGAAACAGATGGGTTTGGCTCCATACGAGAGATAGGTGGGTTTGGTTCCATAAGAGAGACAGACAGATTTGGTTCCAAGGGGGGCAGGTGGCTGTGTTTCCAAAAATGCGACAGATAGGTTCGGTTCCAAGTCAGGAACAGTCGGGACCTATGTAGTGAAGATGAATTAGACAGGAGCCAATTAACTTACGAGTGTTGGAGGAAACCAGAGCACCCAAAGGAAACCCACACAAGCTCAGGGACAACATGCAAACTCCATGCAGACATTGTACTGGCTGGGATTCAAATAGCAGACCCAAGTGCTAACAGAAGAACGCGGAAGTGTTAACCACTTTTCATTATTTTGGATTTCTAGCTACACCGCAATCTAAATCTGAAAGCTTTTTCATCTGTCTTGGGATTTTGTGTTGCTTGAATTAAATTGTTTTTTTTTTAAAGGTTTCTTTTTTTTGCAGCAGCAGCGCAGCGAGGAGCCGCTGCAGCACAAACAGCCATTATGTACAGGCGTCGATGCTACCTCCAACTTTTAACAACCCATAGCGCACAGTTTATGGATCAAGACTGTTGATTTCAAATACATCGTAAATTGTCATTCCGCGTTTATGAGCCCCCAAGGAGCGTTCTGCGCCTTCCCAAGAGGCCATTTCCCTTCTCCAAACACATGCTCCTAAATCTCTCGCTTTTATATCTGCGCCAGAGTCTTAATGAAGACTTTTTGATGCAAGAGAGTATTTAAGACGGGGAGCGAGTCAATTTAAGGCTCAACTTGGCTTCGTCGAGTTGCTTGGCTTCTGTTCTGGAAAGCGGTTTACATGTTAACTAATTGCGCATTTAAACCGCTCGCTGTTCTTTAAGCTCAATCATAATACGTCGTGTTTGTCTTCATAAAGCTTTCGCCAAGTGAAAAATGCCAACAGCTGCACGGCGCACTTCGATTATGAGAAATCCCGCGCCTGCCGTAATCTCGATGTGTATATACACCAGCGCAAGCAAGGTTCGGCTGAATCCAAAACATATTTTATTTTAACGTGCTTTAATTGTCTGCTTGGGCTGCCGCGGCGCACACGCGCCAGCCCGAAAATATCTTTCTTTTACGCATTTTATTTTCTCGCAAGGTAGTGAAAGTAAACACAGACTCCCCGAACATTCCCTGGGGGGAAATTTCAGTGGGAGAGATAAATCCAGCCTCCCTACCACAGGTTCCTCTCGAATACTTAACCAATTATCCGGATGTAATTGTCTCTGCTACAGGAAAACAAAATGGCAAGCACATTTCCAAGACTCAGTTAATGTTTAGGAAAACATAATACAAACATGCAATCTAGTTTTTAAAGTGGACCTGTCACTTTGCACAAGGTAGAAGGCTGCCTGGGATGTGGTGGAAAGGTAGTGTAGCGCCCTCCTAACCCCCAAAGGTAGGTGGTGAACCCCAGAGGCAGGGAGCGCTGACATTTTTTTTTTTTAATTTTTAGCTCATCGTTTACTTTTTAAATTTTTTAAATCTTATTATTGTTTATTTATTTTTTATAATAATTTTCTTATTTTTTTAAATATTATTTTTCTAATTTTTTACTTTTTAATGACTTTTTACTTTTTTTTCCCATTTAATTATTATTTCTTATAATTTTTTTATCAATTTTTTTTCACTTAACTTTATTGCTATTACACAGGAGAAAACAATCCCCTGTGTGATAGCAATTGGAGGTGACAGGTTCTCTTTATTGACCCTATCAC